GGGGTGAGGAAGATGCTTCAGCAGAAAAGAGCCCAGAAGCCTCAAAGGCTGGAAAGTAACCATGTTCTTCCAAAAGCTACAGGGACTTTTCCAGCCTCCAGTTCCCACTGCTACCCCAAGAGCACCATGAGGGGGTCCCAGTACCTTGATACAACCTGCGTGCTTTCCTCCATGTTAATCTGCTGCCTCTGTAAAGATAACACAAGCCATGCTCCCTGGCCTGTCCCCACCCACTTGGGATCCACAAGCACAAGGTGGGACTTTCAAAGAACAAGAGGACTTTTTTTTTTTTTTTTTTTTAAATAAAGAAAAATAAAGGTAATATCAGCTAGAGCATTTAGTGACTGGTTAAGCATTTAGAAAGGAGCAGTTCAACACAATTAATTCTCCTTTTCATAAAATGAAGTCCCAGCCACTGTGTATCATTGTGCATTTTTCTTACAGGCTCCTAGCCTGTGTCACCTGGAACACTATTCTTGGGGCATTAGACAGTTGATCCATATTTTCACTATATTATGAGACACTTCCTGATTCCCTTGTCATCTAGCACTCTTCTCCCATCTGCAGCTTCAGCAGAAAGGTGCCATGAAAATGCAAGAAGAAGCTGGGAACTAGAGGCTCTATATCTATGACAACTCACCAATTGCAGTCATTGACACCTGAATTTTTCTTTTTGTCACCTCACTCCTGAGCCATACAGTTTCAGATTCATCACTGAGGTTTTCTGCTTGTTATCACCTAGAATGAATGTCATCACATGCTATGAATTAATTGTACATCATTAGTTGCTTATATTGAACATGTCTCCCATGGAGCTTTTAGACTGTAGTACATGCTCATTTGCAAATGTCCAAACACTGTGTTTCCCCATATTATGTGTACCTTCTAAATAATTCTCTTCCTAGTAAAATAAGCTTCTCTTCCTAGTAAAATAAGCTAACAGCTATATCTTTTTATCTTCTTATCAACAACTCAGTGTGGCAAGTCTGTGAATATCCACATACTGTTTAAAGAACTTCTCTCTGATATCACTGCACCAAAAGCCAATTATTCACTCCACATTGCCAACAGACTCTATGCTGAAAAGACATGTCCAATCCTACCGGTGAGTTGCATATTAAAGTGATTTCTTGCTAAACCCTGTATAAACCTGTAATCCAGGAGGACTGCCCAGAGTAGGTGATGTGTTCATCCAGTGGTCCCCACTGGTGTGGACATCCACAGCTTTTCCCTTTGCCACAGCCCTGACAATAGCCTGAATGGAAAGCAATTCCAGGCAAAAAGGTGGCCCTATTCACAAATGAATGGAGTAATAAACAAAACTGGCAATGTAATTCTCCCCTCCCCACCTGCTCCCCCAAAGCCTTTTCATTTTAATAGGTTGTTTGTTTATTTTCAGGAAATAATTTGACTTCAGCACATTTCTTCACTTTAAAACCTCACCTCAAAAACAACTTTTGAAAGTGTCAAAATCTTTCATTTGACATTTTCAAAACAAAACATACAAATATACAAAGAAGCTTCTTTTCTTTAAAAATAAGGAAAAATGTTTTTTTTTTAAAAAGGAGTGGACATAATGATAATAAAACACTCCAAAATGAACCTGAAACAGTGTTTTTGGATCAGGCTTTCTTCACGAAAATATTTGAACATTTCCAACATATACCCTTAACTGGTCAAGTAATAAAAATGTCAGACCTGAAAATGTCATGGATCAGAATAATTTTTCTGCCACAGTTTTAGCAGGTTCTTCCAGGAAGTAAGCAATAAGGACAGCCTAACCATGGCATCACTATAAAAATCCTTTTAGCCATATTTTGTTTCACCTTCATACTGTTTTTAAAATATGACTAGTTTGGTGGCTACAATTTCTGTCTTTACAGATCTACTTAAAATGTGTGAAGAAACTGTACAGAGCAGGTCTGGAAATGGTCAACTTCAAGACAGCATCAGATCAAGCCAGACAGCTCATTAATTCCTGGGTGGAAAATCAGACAAATGGTAAGGTCAGACAAGATTTTGAAATATACTTCCCTCTCACTACTGTATTTGAACAACTTCTGGAAAGACTAAACGTTAGAGGAGAAATTCGCTCCTCCTGTCCCATTAGTGGATATTGCCTGTGGAAAGGGATGACTCTGTTTCACCTGTGTGGCAGTGACAGTGCATTTTAAACGTATCTGCCAAAGGCAGAGGTGCCAGCATATGCACACTTTAGATGCACACTTGTGTCTGGAGAGCTTAATTCATGCAAGGTTAGTCCCAGCTTCTCTAGAATACTGGCATAATTTTACAAGGATGTGCTGGATAGGTAAGAATTGGGCTTCCAGGGGAGAAAGTGATGCCCACACTAGACTCATGGTGGGAAAGGAATGATTCAGGAGCTTGTGTACATTTATCATGCTGAGGTGGGAGGAAAAACAAGAGTGAAGTGTGAGAAAAAAGCACAGTGAGAAACAGAAAATCTATATTGCTGCTTCCCTCTTCTGTTCCTTGTTTTCTATATAAAGCTTTTTCCAAGCACTGGTTAGAAATATTCCCGGGGATGTATACCACTCTTGAACCTACCTTGCAGAAATGTCTGGCCGCGTGCCAGTTGTTCTGTATTAAGTCATCCTCATGAACCTGAATTCCACATGCAGACCTTTGAAGAAGAGGAAGTCAAGCAGCAGCATGTCGATTGACCTCTAAAATGCAAGACTACTGCTGTGAAACTCACCACTCTCTGCCCTGCTTCTTTCTTAAAGGACAGATCCAAGATTTCCTTGTGTCAGGTTCTGTTGATCTCAATACTGTGCTGGTCCTTGTGAATGCCATTTACTTCAAAGGGATATGGAAGACGGCATTTAAAGAGGAAGACACTCGGGAATTTCCCTTCAGCATGACAAAGGTAGGGGGGCACAGACACAGCTTCTGGACAGGAAGCCAGGCTGTTGGCTTACATAGCCAGCAGTCTGGGTGTTACACATACAATATGCTGTGGTCACTGGCTGGGTGATTTAGCTGGGTCCCTCACTGTCAGGTTTGCAAGACCTGTGTCTGACCAGAGCACAGCACCAGGCAAGAGAGGAAAATGGAGACACAGCTCTTCTTCAAAGGCAACACGCCTGAAGATCGAGTGCTGTCCCTTTCAAAGGGATCATACATTTGCCTGCCTAAACGAAAAATTGCTCCCCGGTCACGTTGTCTCACGTTCCTGTTTTTGCAGCAAGAAAGCAGACCTGTGCAAATGATGTGTCAGAACAGTACCTTCAAAGTGGCAGCGGTGGCTGCAGAGAAGATGAAGATCCTGGAGCTTCCGTACGCCAGTGGGGAGCTGAGCATGTTGGTATTGTTGCCTGATGACATCTCTGGCCTGGAGCAGGTACGGCCCTGGCAGGGGAAGCAGAAGAGTTACCGCTTCAGTGGGACTTGGCTGCCATCAGACCTTTTGCTGTCCATTTACACCCCAGCTGCCCACACCAAGGCTGTGCTGGGCAGGCAGGGGAGCACACCCCACCCCACCCCCCCCAAGGTGCTACCGGGTGCTCAGGCAGAGACGCGCCTCTTAGGAGAGCTCTGGACTCAGTCTAATAAAACAAAGGCAGAGGAGCGTAGTGCTGCTGTAGCCCTGCACAAGAGGACATACGTATGGGCAGATATTTTTTTTCTTTGAGAGTTAATTTCACCCACACCCCCATATAAACTGTTGAGGAAATGTTGCTAAAATTAATGAGAATTTGGCATTCTTTGCAGGAATCACTAATGATTTTTTTTAAGAAAATCCTGATTAAACATCATAAATGAGCTGCTTTCAAAAATTGCTATGTGTCCTGGTTTCAGCTGGGATAGAGTTAATTTTCTTCCTAGTAGCAGGCATAGTGCTGTGTTTTGGATTTCGTATGACAATAATGTTGATGATAACACACTGATGTTTTAGTTGTTGCTAAGTACTGCTTATGCTAGTCAAGGACTTTTCAGCTTCCCATGCGCTGCCAGGTGCACAAGAAACTGGGAGAGGGCACAGCCAGAATGGTTGATGCAAACTGACTGAAGGGCTATTCCATACCATATGACGTCATGCTCAGTATATAAACTGGGGGAGTTGGCCAGGGACAAGCAATTGCTGCTCAGGAACTGTCTGGGTATTGGTCAGCAGGTGG